TAATAATACTATTTAATTAAGATAATTCGAACGAAATATGTGTCTTGGAATAAAACACGCCATTAACATGATTCAAGGCAAAATAAAAATTTCGCCACTGAACTAAATCAAGTAAAAACTATATTTGTTATAGATATACTTAACCATATAATCGGGAGAATAGTATCCAGCAAATGCTAAAAACTAGGCGATAATTTAGAAGTAAAAATTTAGAACATTATAACTTTTGCTTTCATCTCTTCACCGTTTGCAGACAAATCTTCATTTCAAAATGACTGCTTCATGTTGTTTGTGTCAAGTTTTTGGTGAAAGTCTATTGATTTTTGCAAAGTAAATGACTTAAATATGACGTGTTTTCTGTACTAAACTAGTCAATATACACTCTGAGAATGTTCGAATATCTTATTTATCCTAGTGTCAGTTGCAAGTGCAAGATTGGAAAGTGTGATCTTGAAGTTAAAGTAATCAGAGAGAAGATTATCCTTAAACGTTAGAATCCAACCAAAAAAGAACAAGAAAACCGCGAAGCAGAAGGATTACGAACAATATATTTTGTTCTTCTCATGATAACCATTTTCATTGTCTTTGGTCGTTCAGTGATTGAGAAACCTCAACTAACAAAGGTAATAAGAAATACCTCAAGAACAATTATTTTCATTTCTTCTAAGTGCGCAGAGTATTCTAGACATCACGTTGAAAAGCATTCTAACAGTGCAAATCAAAGACACAATGGAATGAATCTGAGCAAAAGTAGCCTTGCTTTGGGTAGACTTTTAATCAACATGAAAATAACATTTTCGAAGCTAAAGATCGAATCCTAAACGTATGCAAAATTTCACATGAGAAACAAACTTGTGGATTTTTTTCCTTTATTCAAAGTTACCAATAAAACAGCAATTTCTGTGCAAACAAGTCATGATTTTATAAGGTTAATTATTTCATTTAACTAAACCCATGAAACCAAGACTCTGCTCAAAAAGTAGATATATTATAATTCAAGAAAAAATAAAGAAACGAGTGATTTCAGAACTCAAGTTTACCTTAGTTTTTCAGATTCGGTTTACTGAAAAACGATAACATACCTAAAGCCCATAGGACTGAGCATTATATATAT